TATCTAACATACGGCCCTCGCACTATTTTGATATTTACAGGCATAAAAAGTATTAAAGATTACGACTATTTACATTTGAGAAAAAAAAATAATTAGTAATGAATACAATTACAATTTAGTAAATATTTACAATTTATACAAAATAGATCTTCGATATGGTTAGTAAGGTTAAGCTTGTTAAGAAAGATTTTACGATTTTTTTTTGTTTGGCGTTAGTATATGAAGAGATGGCGAAACAGCAAGTTGCTTACAATCGCTATCTAAGCAATTAAAAAGAATGGAAGCACTGTACAGAAATGTTCGTTTACCAGAGTCAGTACGCGGGAAGGGGGGTTGAAGGTCATATGCGCAAGCTCTAGTCAGAGCCTGTTGTCAAATAGAAGATAAGAATTTAAACATTTGCTTAAATGAAGATGGAGCACTGGGATTTGTGAGAATGTTAATTAGTAAGAGAAGCTTCCTAAATTTAACAAGATCAAAGATTGGGATTATTTGAATCTAGGTAAAAAGAAGAACAGAAGGAGTAGAAAAGTCAGCGTCTAGAATAATACGTGCTGCACGCTTTTGCAGTCGAAGAATGCGAAGTAAAAGTGTGTTTGAGCAGTTTCCCCAAGTTACAGAGCAGTAGATAAGACTTGAATTGATACAGGAGTTATAGAAACGAAGAGCACAGTCCTTAGTTAAAAAGGGTTTAATCCTGCGTAATAAAGCAAGTCTACTATTAATTGTTGAACACAAGTTGTCAATATGCTTGGTCCAAATTAAAAACTCGTCAAGCGTTAAACCCAACAAAACGTAGCAAAGCATCTGAAGCTGGGGGTCGGAGGATTTTACCTGAAATTTGAACTTCAATGCTAAAAATTTACTTGTAGTGTAATAATTATCAGAGCTTTTCCTGACTGATTTGGCACTGTACTGTCATACTAGTTTCACTCCCCAGAAAATGTTTACATTTTTGAAGCTCCAGGACTGCATTTCTTGCGTTTTCTAAAGCAAATTCGCAAACGAATAGGATCTAAATTGACTGTATTTTACGAAAATGATTATCATTTCACAAAAATTAATAACGAGCTTATTACGCAAAGTTTACTTGAAAATGTCAAAATTTAATTAAACTTCAATTTTACCTGACTTTCACAGTTGGGGGTGCGTGGGTGTTACACCCCCGCACCCCCAAGTCGCTAAGTGCCTACGTCCCTGAACAGACGTGTGCCATAATTATGATGAGGCAACGATACTAGTATAAACGTCACAGGATGTCATTCACTGCAGCCATGGGCCTAACAACATTGGATAGGAAACTAATGATGACGCATGATCGTTTCCACATGCAGATAGCGTCTAAACCTTGCTGAAAATTATAAAATCACTAAATCCAAAATATTTCCACGTTAAGCAGTATAAATACAGCTGAACATTTTAGTCAGGAAACATAAGAATACAACCATGCCACTCTATATATCTAAATATTGTTGGTCATTTTCACAGACTTCACTGAGCATATGCTCGGATTTGACGACGGTGATCATGAAATACCGGCGTCACAAATTTCAATTATCACTGAACAGTTGTTTTTGTGACGGCAATTTCTTGATCAGTTACGGAAGTGAAAAACCAAAAACAAAGACATTTATACCTCGAATATTATACCGTGGCACAGGCAAGTTCAATTAAAAGACAATGAAACCATTTTGAATATCAATATAGCTACTTGAATGAGAAAAATATAGGAAAATGAAAGAAAAACGTGGTAAATATTCGTTGTATTCGTGACATCAGGAATTTCAAATAGGTCAAGTCTGCTGGGGTGAACTTCCGTTCTGGCAACGTGCATTTACGTCATTTTCATTAAAATGAGAAACATCGTATATTATACAACAACTGACATTTGTCAAAACTGAACCTAGGCTCCTAGCGATCTCAGCAAGATATTTCAATACTAGAAGTTACTATCGCAAGGAAAGTGCTGCCTGACCTCAAGAGATCAAAGCCACCATGCACAATTTCCTGAATAAGGGGCTGTTTATATGATCCCGCTTTGCCATTATTCTCATGATGTTTTTATATAATTATACCAAACTAAGTAAAACCACCCCCAAATACATAAAAATACATAAAGGAAACTAAGTAAATTATACTTTATAATTTAAAGTAAATTTTTAATGCAAAACATTGTTCATACAATTGACCTTTTGAAAACCAAGCGATCTCAGCAAGATATTTCTAATACAATTGCGGTCTAATATAGAGGGTCCTGATGGGTGAAGTGGGATTTGCCTATATATTTCTGGACTGGGAAAATGGGATCTGGCTGTTACTGGTGTACTATTCCACCTCGTTTACCGCTCGATTGCCTTATTTTATTGCTTTTCTTTTTACTTTTTAAACACAAAACTACATAGCCCAATTATGTATAGTCCACATACAATACAACTCCCGTGATGCTTTGCAATCACTTATATGATGTTTCTACTTTTAGTTGCTTGCTTCCTAAATATAAATCATTAAATGTTCAAATTTTAAAAGTTCAAAGTAAACAATGTCAATGTTAGATCCATAACAGATATTATTCCTGTTCATTGTGCTGTAATACCAAAAATCGTCTACACGACCTACTGTAGTGTACAGAGTTTATTTTGTCGTCTTCTCCACGATATAATCTTTCAGTTTATTGGGTAGCCTAATGACACGTTTAGGTCTGCCATATTCTGTGACAGTGTCAGGTTTTTTACTTAAATCAACACTAATTTGCTCCGGCACTAGCACTTGGAAAAATCCAAGACGGTTTCACAAATGAACTGTCCGTTCGGTATACTTCTCCATCCTTTGATTGAAGCATAAGTTGATGTCCCTCTTTTGTCACCACTGTATATGGCTCGTTCTCGTAATTAGGAGCCAACTTTTCGGTTGTTTTAGTATTCTTTAACAAAACTTGATCACCAGGCGCTACTGGATTAGTAGAGGCTTTGTTCTTGTAATCAGCGTAAGCTTTCTGGTTCAGTTTCTGGCTCCAATCATGCTCTTTTATTGCTTGATTTAGGATGCTGTCTTGGCGCCTTAACTCAGGAAGTTTCGTCTTCAATTCTCTCCCGAACATCAAATATGCTGGTGTAGCTCCAGTGTTAACCTGTGGTGTGCTGCGATATGCTAAGAGGAATTTTGGTAATTCTTCTTGCCACTTCTTTCCTTCTGCTTTTGCTACTTTCAAGGTTTTCAAAAGTGTTCCATTTTGCCGCTCCACTTCTCCATTTGCCAGAGGCCATAGTGGTGGGGATTTTCTATGTTCTATTCCATTTTCCCGCAGGTATCTTCGAAATTCTTCAGACACAAATTGAGGACAATTATCCGACTCTAGAGAATGTGGAAAACCAAATCTCGCAAAGATATCAGACAGGGCAGCAATCACCCTTTGAGTTGTTTCTGAGCGCATAACAACGACTTCATAGAACCTACTATAGTAATCCACCGTTACTAACAAACTTTCTCCTGTGGGTATCGGACCCATCAGGTCTATCGCAATGTCTTGCCAAGGCCTCATAGGTGGTTCGGTTCTCATCATAGGTTCTAACACTGAATTGCCCCGCAACTTGGCATCCACGACACGATTTGCACATTTTCTCAGCATCAGCATCTAATTTTGTTTGGCCACCATACCTTTGTTCTCAAAAGACCTTTTGTTTTTACGATGCCCTGTTGCCCCTCATGGGCGGACTTTAGGACTTTTTCTCGTAGACTTTGAGGTATTACAATTCTGTCTCCGCGAAGCAAGAGCTTTCCAATCACACACAGTTCATTCTTTACACAAAGATAACTTGGCATCTTACAATGTGACCAGTCGCCCGTTTCAATATAGTGACGTACACTTGACAATTCCGGATCTTTATCCGACTTTCTTTCGATTTCTCTTGGTGTCAAGGCTACCGGTGTTCTTTCTTGTACCACAAGCCGTATCACCTCCTCCGTTTCTCTACTAAGATCCTTAGGCTTTGGTTGATTCAGCCTCGACAACGCGTCTGCGATATTCGTGTTACCAGGGCGGTAGACAACGTTATAATGATGGCACTGTAAACGGAGGACCCAACGCTCAATCCTTGCTGATGGCTTCGACGACTTCCCAAAAATGCATTGTAACGGTTTATGGTCTGTTTCCAATTCAAATTCACGACCGTACACATAAAGGTTGAATCTTTCGCATGCCCAGACAAGAGCCAATGCCTCTTTTTCAGTCTGGGCATAGCGTCTCTCCACTTCGGTCAGATTCCTTGACGCATACGAAACCGCTCTCCACTCTTCCCCAAGCAGCTGCAGTAATACTGCGCCCAAACCTTCTGGACCCGCATCAGCTACAATCCTGGTTTTACACTCGTTCCAAAAATAAGCAAGGGCTTTACTTGTTGACATGAGCTGCTTAAGCTTCTCGAATGCTTTCTGTTGTTCAATTCCTCAAACAAAAGAGTGTTCCTTTCGCAGCAGCTTGCGTAACGGTTCGGCTTCTTGGGAAAAATTAGGTATAAACTTGGATGAATATTGTACAAGCTGAACAAACGATCGAACTTCAGAAGTGTTCCTTGGTGCTCTCGCATTCACAACCGCTGCAATCTTTTCCTCGCTTGGTGTTACCCCCTGGTTGCTTAATTCATGTCCGAAAAATGTCAATTTAGGGAGTCTGAACTGGCACTTATCACCATTCAGGGTCATGCCGCTATCTCTTAAACGTTGGAGGACCGCATGCAAATTCCTATCATGCTCCTGAAGGTCACATCCGTAAACAATCAAATCATCAGCAATATTAGCTACTCCATTACAACCCTGTATGACGTCAGATATAATCTTCTGGTACTTCTCGGGGGCAGATGTTATGCCAAACATCAGCCGCTTGTACCTGTATAACCCCCGATGGGTTACAAAGGTCGTAATATCACGAGATTGTTCCTCTAGCTCAATCTGGTGAAACCCCCATTTCAAATCAAGCTTGCTGAAAATGGTTGCACCATTGAGGGTCATACAAAATTTCCTCAATTGTTGGAATGGCTGGGGTGTCTTTCCCGCGCTATCGCCTCATTCGCCTTACGCATATCGATACATACCTTCACATCACCGTCCGGTTTTGGCACCACCACCACCAAAGGTGAGACCCACTCTGTTGGACTGTTCGGTACTTCCTCGATGATATCTTTCGCCAGCAAGTCATCCAATTTTTCATCCACTTTACCTCGCAAACCAAATGGAAGCCTTCGAACCCCTTGTGCCACTGGTTTTACATCCTTGTTGATGTGCAGTTTCAATTGATAATTTTTCAGCTTTCCAACTCCAACAAATGTATCTGCATACTCCTTACGAATATCCGTATCACTTCCTTCCATTGCAGTTGAACAAACTTGAGCACCATAAAAAGGACCAACATGCAACACTTTAAGCTTCTCCGCAGTACTCTTTCCAAGCAAAGGTTTCCCGGCGCCCTTTATTATAGCCTGCGTAGCAGGCGTTTAGTGCGGGCGGGAGAAGAAAAGGCATCGTTAAATGAACGCCTGCCCAAATGCCTATGATTAATTTGTTCTTCTCCGAAGAATCTTCGGAAAAGCTTCCCATTGGTTAATCTCGTTAACGGAAGTAATTACGTAACTCAAATGTCAACAATAATTTTGCTTGCGTTGACGCGTTAATAGTCGCGTATCAAAAATATGCCGCCTGTTAATGCTTTCGAGGAAACTTTCTTATATGTCAAGTATTTAGGCTTCGAAATTCAGTTGAACCAGAACAGAGAAAGTATATTATTAATTTGCTACGTGGTGAAGACGCCGGTTATCGCGATTCTTCCTAAGGAATACGGAAAAGTTTGATCTTTCAATTATACATAGTGATTTTAAATATATCCTGAATATTTCTTTAATTAATATAGTTGTCTTGTTATTTGTTCACTTTAAAGTATAATTCAAGACCAGATAGTTGAGGCTATATCACTTGGCATTGCAGCTATGAGGTTGGATGATGATTTTAAGAATAACATTTCAAAACATGCTCAAATGTGAAATGTTATATTTGCAATACGGCAGAATACGTTAAAAGCTCTGTGCACGTTGTGACTGACTGTTGTCTAAAATAGCTTCAAAAACTCATTAATAATTCATGAGGAAAACACAAAGAAAAATCATAAACGTGTCGTATCCTTGATATGTGATAGAGATTCCCTTGTCCTTGATTTACATAAATTTTAATGATTTTCTCTACATATACACACCGAATTTTTTGAAAGCTACTTCGCCAATGAACGTATACTAGATCGATCGTTTTTGAAGCAATTTAAAACATTTGCAGTGCGTGTTTAATCAGACCATCTTTTAATATATCTGATAAAACACTCCTGCTCGTGTTTTAAATAGTGCATAAAATCTCTGCCAAGTCTCCGCAGTTGCCGAGCAAAAAGCATGCATGATGCTAAATATAAATCTCGAGTATGATTGGATAATGGGGTGAAGGTGCTAATTACAAAACGTCAATCATCCTTAATGGGCGAAAACAAATTTGTCATTGCCATTTGGGCAGGCGTTCCCTCAGTTCCCGCCCGTCAGCTAAACGCCGGCTACGCAGGCTACCTTTATTACTGTGAACTACTCTATGGATTTCGCACCACTAGCCTTGCATACAATTTCAGCAACAAATGTCCCAGCAACTTCAGTAGGTTCTTTCTGGCCATAAGCAAACAGCTTCTTCTCAGACTTTGTTGACTGGCAATCAATATTCTTCTTCTTCAAATTACTCCACGTTTCATAATCAACCAAATTACATGAAGCACCAGAGTCAATAAGTACGCCATCCAGCTGGACTCTACCAATCATAAGAGTAATCTCCCCAACCTGTTCTGTTTTCTCCTACAACAAATGCATAGTCTTCCATGGTTCTTGGATTCTTTTCATCATCTACCTGATACACTTTCTTCTTTCTGCTCTCATCTTCTTCTTGATTCCGTCCTTGTGGTATCTTACTATTATTTTTCCTGCAGCACGCAGAAAAATGCCCATGAATTCCACATTCATTGCACCTCTGATCTCTAGCTGGGCAGATAGTATCCCGAGCAAAATGACACCCACGGTTACACTTGAAGGACCTTTGATCAGTTCCAGTTTTTTGACCAATGTTCCCCTACCATATCGACCACTTGTGTTGTTTCCATGAACACCATCTTTGTTTCCTCTCTGGTTTTTCTTGCCAAACTGACCGACTGCATTTACTTGACCGTCCTCTGATTGTTGTGAATCAGACTGCTCCAAAGATCTCATCTGAATTTCAACCGCTTCATGTGCTCTTGCAATATCCTGCAAATTTTTCAAACTTACATTGATTTTCTCCAAAAACGTCCGACGAAGTTTAACATTTCTACATTTTTCAATAAGCTGGTCTCTTATTGTCTCGTCAACATCTGCAAACTCGTATGTGAGAGCTTTCTTTCTCAACCGACAAACAAATTGATCCACTGTCTCCCCTGCAACTTGACACATTTGCCTAAACAAGTGTCTCTCGAAAGGAACGTTCACTTTTGGCACAAAATAATTATCCAACACTTCAAAATTTTCCTTCAAGCCCTTTCCCTCATTCTCAGGTACCAATGTGTAATATAATTCTTGAAAATCAGCGCCACCAGTATGCAACAGCAGTGCTACCTTTTGCGAGTCCATTGTGATCCCTTTTGCCCGTAAATATAAGTTAAATGATCGCTTCCAACGTTTCCAACGAATAGACAGAGTATTCGGGTCATGGTACTAGCTTAAAAAATAAGCAGAAACTCGACGTTTCGAGCGAAGGCCCTTCGTCAAGACCCTGCTACTAACTCTTGTCGTCAAGGCCCTGCTCCTAACTCTTGACGAATGGCCTTCTATAAACCACTCAGCACAGCATTTCTACATTGGTACTACCCACACTGGTACAGACAGTTTTAGTACATATATTCGGGTCATCCCTGGGGTTAAAGCAAGGAAGACCATTAATTTCAGTTGCCTTAAATTGAGCCGATTCTTGGCTAGAACTTTGTTGACTAGCACTAGCTCCTGGCCCTTCGACGGCTTCGTTGTCCGACATATCCTTTCGAAAGAATCACACCAAACGTACACAAAATAACAGGAAACTCCTCACCGACACAGAAAAAATCACCATCCTCGTCGCCAATGTACTATTCCACCTAGTTTACCGCTCGATTGCCTTATTTTATTGCTTTTCTTTTTACTTTTTAAACACAAAACTACATAGCCCAATTACGGTCCACATGCAATACAACTCCCGTGATGCTTTGCAATCACTTAAATGATGTTTCCACTTTTAGTTTCTTGCTTCCTTAAACTTCAAATGTCAAAACACTACAACTGGGACCTCGGAATGAACGACGCAAAAATGGGAATTAGAAAACCAATATAACATCATAAATATAATTCAAAAACTCATTAATAATTCATGAAGCAATTATCCAATCTTGAGTAAGAAATTAGTCACGTGCACACGTCTTTATACCAGCTAAAGAACACTTTAACAAAAGACCATTGTTATGCAAACTATATAAAGATTTTTATATAAAGATTTTTATATAAAGATTTTTATATAAAGATTTTTATATAAAGATTTGACTTATTATGCAAACGTTTTTGAAGCCATTTAAAAAACTCGCAGGTCGTGTTTTATTAGGTCGAAAGCCACTCGCGCTGCGCGGCGCTCGTGACTTTAAACCTAATAAAACACTCCTGTTCGTTTTTTAAATAGTACATATAAAGACAGTTGTAGTTGGGCATTTCAGAGTGAAAAACTTTAAGAACAGCCACAGAGCAATTTTTGTAAAGTAATTAAGACACTGGGAACGAGGCTGCGCCTTTAGTAGTACGATGTAGTACGGCAACGCAAAAATAACGGCCAGAAACTAAAATCATTCAAATAAACGATTGTAAAGAAAATTTGTAGACTATTATTGATCGTATCAGTTTAAAACTGTTTGGATAGCTTAAAATGGTGGCTTTATTGTTGCGAAAGTTCCACTGTAGTGCTGAGCTAATTTGCTGAGTATCCCTTCAGCAATCTCGCGTCTTGAAATGCAGGCGTTTTATCCAAGACGTAAAAGTCTGTAGTTTCCCGTTGTAAACAGACCGTGGATGACGTCTCAAACTCCCGTGGGATATTAATTGTTCACTTTTGTTCTTAAATGTTATAAATCTCAATGTATTTGAATAGCCTCCGTCGTTACGTTGCCCTCCTACATCGTATGGTCTCTATTGCTTAGCATCGTACAACGAGAGAGAGGCCGGGACTCATTGAATTCAATCTGACTGATAATAACTTTCCGACGGAAAATCATAGTGTCGGCGTATCTTGGTAAGTGAATGTTCTCGAAGCTTAAGTCCCCTCCCTGATGTAATTAATGGCGCCGAATTTTATTCCGGACCAAGGCTGTCAGTCTACCCCTGCATCCGGTAACCTGACAGGACTGACAGGGGAACTGTATGCAAGAGCGACCGCGGGCTTTAGTGTGTTTTTGTCCCCAGACAAATTAATGCCGAAAAAATCTCAATATCGATCCCTCCCAGAAGTAAAGGTGAGGGGCTAAGCCCCCCAAAATTATGACAGAGTAAAACAGTAAAACTGCAGGAAGATTCTTGGTCGTTCCATAAAAGTTGAACAAACTCGGACGAACATTACGATCATTGTGCTGAATAATGAAATATTCCTTCATAGTAGGGGAGTTAGCACTGGTAGCACTTTTTTGCAGCATTTTTGTCGCTCAAGTGACTTGAATTCGTTGCCAGACAGTGCAATTTCAGCCCTCCTATAAACTTTAAATTTCCAAGCTATGTAAATATTAAAGACATTAAATTAAACATCGCATTTTGTTGAAATTAATGTTGTCTCAGGATGTTAATATTTGAGCTGTGTTAAATTAAGCATAATCAAGTAATTTTTTGCAACATATAAATCAAATATTTTTTCACAACGGCGTAAATGATAAGTACTGTGACAGAAACTCCTATGACTATTAAAATTCAACATGATTTTTACCACAATTAAGTGATATACCCGTCATTGAAACCAGACTCACTGACCTAGAAATACTCAATAATAATAATGATATATTAATTAAACAGAGTCAAGCCCGTAGCTGGCTCTCAATTTCTGGGGGGAGGGGCACTGCAGAAAGAATGTAACAGAGGGGTTGGGATGATTCTGACTCGACACCCCCACCGTCGACAACTTTTTAGGTAAAAATATTTTCCGGACGAGTACGTTGCAATTGCTTTCCAGGTACTTTTTCTCAATTTTTCATAACAAATTTCGGTACTTAGCCCCCTCAAAAAAATAACAACATTAACAGCTATTAGTTCTGCAAAACGTCTGCAGGGGCTAAGCCCCCGGTGTAAGATTTCTGGAGGGGCTCGAGCTCCAAAGCCCCCCCATACTCTACGCCTATGAGGTTATTTAGTTTAGGCCACAAGCAATCTATTTTCATACAAAAATTGAGTATGACTATGAGCCTCAAGTATTAATCTTCTACGGTCGCTGTAGCACTGTATATCATGGCAAAAAATGTGGAATAAGGGGGGGGGGGCATAATTTTAATTTTGCCCCCCACCTCCCCCCTCAGCTACGGGCCTGAACAGAATAGAAATACAAGCAAATATAGACTGTAATATAAAAAACACAGACAAAAAACCAGAGGGCACAAACTTGTATTACACTAAATAAAAAGTCACGTTTATAGCCGATGGCGCCGGAAGTTTTACACGCGAGGACGTCCACGCAAGAATGCTGCTTATCATAGCGATATCACACTTTCAAAAACAATCAGTATACCTCATTGTTTATATATCAGATGTGTTTTATCGCCGTTCGGTAATCTAACTGCAGACTGTGAAACTGGATTTCAAATAATACGATCGAGAATGTTGCACTCTTTTGTGTTCTAAGAGGCAATTAGAACGTTCGAAGTTATATATTTACAAGGGTTCGTCGATTCAATTATTATAAAACGCAATAATGCTTGCCTGGATTAACAGCAGTCCAAGTGTTTACATGCTTGTGGGAGCTATATTTCTTGTGATAGAGACAGATGCAAATCCCACAGAAATACCATACAAAGGTAAGCCAACAGTGTCTTTAGTTTACAGACATATATTGATATCACTCGCCTAGGTTGGATTTTTTGAGCGTGTAAATATTGTAAGGCAAGTAAACAATTTACATGAAGGTCATATAGTATGAGAACAGGTCAAAGGAACAGTTTAAACGTTCATTATATGATTTAGTAAGCTTCTGATTAAGCTATACTGCGAGTAATTTTGTAACCCCAATGGGGATATTTATGTATTAGGATTTGAGGCTGACACAGGATGTATTTGGTAGATCTGAAGGTCATGTAGTTAAACATCGCCACGGTGGTCTCACTGGCTAGTGAGTCGGAACAAGACTATGCCCGCATGATGTTATTATATTCATTACCCAAACAAAAAACCCCCATGTTGACTTACGTTAGTTACGTATAGTTCTCACATGCGAGCGATACCAATAGCAGGGCGAATACCAAGATTATAAAGCATGTTTACTTGAGGCTCATGTCGAAAATCGCTTTAAGTTGCGGCTATTTCGAAATTCGCAGTCAATGTTGCCATTAATCTTGTCTGCATTTGTTATTATCAGCCTTACTCAAAATTCAGAAAATGCTTTGTGTTTGCTTTCATCCCACTCTGAATAGTTCGGTCTAGTGAAAGGGGTGACCTCAGCAGATCTGAGAAAGAAATACACTATGATTGCAACGAAGTCGTCCCAGTTCTGACTTCGTCTGGTCTCATGTAAAGTAGCCTGTACGTGCCACAGCCGTAAATTATTCACTCGTAATTTTAAATGTCTAATGTAAGGGGACTTATGCCATGTATTTTCTATTAAACAGAGTGTCGTGACAAAGTGATAACCGTAGGAACAAGAGTTGATTCAAAGAAAAACGATAGATCAGGATCCGTTGGGTGTTTGGGTTGTGACAAATTACGAAATTGTACAAGTGTGTTTGGAAGCTTGCATCTGAAGGGAATATCGTTTAGTAAACGAAATGAACATTTGCGAAAGGAATTGCGGTTTCCACACCTTCGAGAAATTACAGGACACTTAATTGTGACATTTTTGATGGATGGTACGAGCCTAAGCGATATTTTACCAAATTTAGCTGTAATACATGGCCGTGCCGAGAGCTTATTTCAAGGATACGCTTTAGTCATTTACCAAAACGAAGGGCTTCAGAATATAGGGTTAAACTCCTTGACTGTAATCAAACAAGGGGGAGTTAAGATTGAATTTAATCCAAAGTTATGCTATTTGGATCGTGTGCGTTGGGAGTCGTTGATGGTCCACAATGGAGCGGCGAAGAAATTAGCTATGAACGGAAATTCAAAGGACTGTTTTGCGAAGTGTTCGGAATCTTGCCATACGCCGAGTGGTCACGGGTCATCCGGTCATAAATATTGCTGGGGAAGAGAGAGAAAAAATTGCCAAAAATGTGAGTATTTTGAATTTTTTGAGGTCAGACCTTTAATGTTTGTTTGGCTAGCGAGTTCTTGGCCCGATATAACTTGCCATGACTAAGCGTCACTTCTCTACTGAAAAACATCAGACGACTCTTTCCGGCGCTTTTACCGGTCCTTTGAAACTTGATAAACGAATTTGATAACTCGTCATCTCTTAATTATTTCTTAGCTCGTCATTATACTTTTGATAACAGATTTCTAAGGGTTTTTAGAAATCACTCGAGGATCAAGTTGTTTAAATATTTTCTGGTATAAATATTTTACTGTAAGCGTAGTAACATATTTTTCAAATTACTGAAGCATATATTAAAATGCTGTTTGTATTGGATACATATATATACCTGTATATATACAGTATATACATATATATGGGTCACTTGAATAATTTTGTATATTTTCAAGATCTTACAGTTAATTTTTAAAACGCTTTTTCTCATGCTAATTCGTAGGCTCGTTCAATTTTAGATAAGAAAAAAAATACAGCTGCTTTTGAGACATATGGGCTATGGCTTAAAATTAAGTACTTATAAAAAACGTATATGTAAATTGAGTACCTGCAGCTAAATATGTGTACAGACTTTCAATTCAAATACACAGTTTGCCAAGGGGGGTGGGGGGTGGGTGGTGGGGGGAGCTTGTGAAATTTTATAGGAGATGTTGTACAGAGCACAGCTGGCTTGCATTGTCACCTCATTATCAGGATTAATTGTAGTTTGTGTTACTGCTAAGCTCTTGTAGACTTGCTACAAGTCGACTCCTATCATTTATCTGTGAAGTTGAGATCAAATTTCTGAAAGTGAGGATTTTAGTGATGGGCGGTTTTGCCATGTCGACTTGTCACTCTTGCAGCGCACCAAGCAGATTAGCCAAACAGATTATTTTAAGAATTGGCCATGCATTATGATTGATGGCTTTTCTGTGTTTCTTATGTGTTGTATTCGTAATTGAAACAGCTGTGAGGGAACATTGTCAGGAAATTTTAAACATTTTTGAGGAATATTTGTGGTGTTACTCTGAGTGTGCATTCACACCGGGTACAAGGCCGGCGAGAGGGGAGGGGAGCCATGTTCACCAATTTGTCCTGTGGCCCGTGGTTGCCTCTCGCCGACCTTCACCGGGCAAGCTGAAAAGTTTGCCTGACCACAGTGGGAATCGAACGCACAAAAATATTTTTGCGGAATTTTAAACATTTTTGAATTAGTACTGTCATGTAATTTTTCATGCCAAAGAGATGAAGTTTCTTGCAAGCACTATACAAGTCAACTCTGACCCATTCATTTTTTAGTTCAAGCTCACCCGTTTATTTGCTCGATCGCACATGTCAAAGTTACAGTGAGTTACAGCTAGTGCGAGTCGACTTGTTGGAAGTATATAACTTTCTTGGATCAGATCTTAACTTGAACTTTAATGTTTCTTGACCTCATCTTTTAAGAGCAATTTTATGACAGGTTGGTGTCAATGACATATAAGTAATTCCAGGCTGATTGGCTCATTTAATGAGCTTCTAGAATTGTTCAATGACCCTAATGTACAAGTGCTGAAGTGTCACATGAAAATAGTTTATATTGCACAACTGAGATACAGTATCAGGCAAACAATTTTTTTGAAATTATCTTTGGTGTGCCATTCCCAAACTTTCCAGTCAAGGCCGGCGAGAGGCAACCACAGGCCTCGACAAATTGGTGAACACGGCCTCCCTGTCCCTTTTGACTCTCATGCTGATGGCCACACCAAAGTCTATTTTTTAATCGCAATCAACGAGGGAATCGCCGGCGAATTACTTGCAAGACATCGCCGGAGAATTTTGGTACCGATGGTGCGCGTGGCGTGCATGCATGTTAACGTACTAGCAGATGGACGTAATAAATTTGTTCAATGCAAGTAAATACGTACCTCATTTCATCTCATAACTGATAAAGACGCGATGTACGAGGTGTTTGCCTAACTGTTTTTGCAGAAAAAAGATAAAAAATTGTTTATTTCACATTTGATACGTTTTAAGATCGATCACAATGATCAGTGGATAATGTGCAAGTAGGCGTATTTGATTTAGGACAAACATAAAGCGATGATAAATGATACGGACATTTTACCAAGATTTCTGGGCCCATCTGAGCACTCCGGGCCCTAGGTATAAGACAAGAGTTACATTTTAAACATTATGGGGGTACATGGTAATAGGTAACGGTAAATAATAGCTTTAGCCTTTATTAGTATGACTATAAATTTACAGCATTGCTAAAGCATATAAAAGTTATAACAATATCAAGAGAACTATGGTAAACTAGGATTATACAATTTACAAATGTGCAATGATACTTAATAGACTAACGTAATATTAACGTTCATAAGAAGTAAGAAGAAAGAATGTAGACAAGTATAATATTTACAAATAAGGTGGTTATTACAACCTCTGCTAATTAGCACTCCTGGTTTCAAGGTATTTAAGCCTTTGTTCAAAACATGAATAAACAAATTTTGACAGTTTAGTTATGATTTCACTATCAGTTGACTTCATTAAGTCAGCTGATAGAGTTTGAGAGTTCAGTTTAATCTCGTTAGATGAGGCATTCTCTAAAGAACTTCGGAGGTCTTCACGAGAATGCTCATAGGCTTTGCAAAAGAGTAGGAAATAGGTTTCGTTTTCCACCTCTCCTGAATTACAGATTTCACATAAGCGTTCTTCTCTTGGTATATTTTGGTATCACCCGAGCTCAATTTGGAGTTTATGGCTGCTGACTCTAAAACGTGAAAGGCATTTTCTCTTGTATGGGTCTTTTATAAGTACTAAGTATTTTTCGAGGTTGTGGTCCGTTTTGAACGTTGAATAGAAAGTTAATTTGGATGAATTTTAAAGACCCTTTTGAATATGTTAATGATGAGAGGGAGTTTTCCAAGCTCAGCTCTGGAAGCAATGTTACTTGCTTTCCTACTGACAGCGAGGTATATTTTACAGAACTTAAGATGGACTTTTTCAATTGGTAACTTGTCCCAATTGTTGAAATCGTTTTTCACGTATGTCCCCCATACTTCAGAGATGTATAGTAGGATCGGGCTTATAATAGAATCAAATATTTTAATGGCATATTTGGGATTGAGGCGGCTGAAGTTGAGCTGTCTTCTTATACCATATAAAGCATGCAAGGCTTTCTCACTTAGTTGCTTTAGAGCTGAAGTGAAATTGCCATTGTGATTTAGTTTCACTCCTAGGTAACAGTATTCCTGTACGATTGCTATGGTCCGATTTCCAAGATTAAACTTTGGGCTT